GTGCTGTAGGTGACCCTGCTTCGGCAGGAGGGTTGGACTAGATGACCCACAGAGGTCCCTTCCAACCCCTACTATTCTGTGAAAGTTCTGTGAAAGACAGGCAGGGAAGAGACACTGTGAATGTGAACGGAAGGACCAGGAGCGAAGGACCAAAAGTAAACTGGTGATGGACACGACCCGGCAGCGTGCGCTGCAGCCCAGCAGGCCAACTGTCTCCTGGGCTGCACCCCCAGCAGCGTGGGCACAGGGTGAGAGAGGGGATCCTGCCCCTCTGCGATGAGAGCCTAGGGGGGTCCTGCGTCCAGCTCTGGAGCCCTCAGCACAGGACAGACACGGACCTGTTGGAGCGGGGCCGGAGGAGGCCGCAGCAATGATGCGAGGGCTGGAACCCCTCTGCTGGGAGGAAAGGCTGGGAGAGCTGGGGCTGTCCAGCCTGGAGAAGAGAAGGCTGCGGGGATGTCTTAGAGCAGCCTTTCAGCACTTAAAAGGGGGCTTATAAAAAAGATGGGGACAAACTTTTAAGCAGGGCCTGTTGTGATAGGACAGGGAGTAATGGCTTTAAACTAAAGGAAGGAAGATTTAGACTGGATATAAGGAATTTTTTTACAATGAGGATGGTGAAACGCTGGCACAGGTTGCCCAGAGAGGTGATAGATGGCTCATCCCTGGAAACATTCAAGGTCAGGTTGGATGGGGCTCTGAGCAACCTGATCCAGTCGAAGATGTCTCCGCTCACTGCAGGGGGGGTGGGCTACATGGCCTTTAGAGGTTCCTTCCAACTCAAACTGTTCTATGATTCTGTGGTACCCTGGGATGAACCCTCGTCTGTTCAGTGCACTCTCCAATACTTGATTTTAAGCACATTTGTGCTATTATAATAGGAAAGCACCGGGTAACAACAAAAAAATTTACTTTATCTGTAGATTTCTCACTGCTCTACAGAGGAAGGAAAGGACAGGTAGAGAAACTGAGACACTCGAGTCAATAAGGCAGAGCAGGACCCGGATTTCCCTATGAGATGATCCCCTGCCTCCGAATCCTGTGTCAAGTGACCTCCTCCCGGAACTTTGTGCTTTTATATCACACTGGACGTCTATGACAAAAAAATTATTTTAACCAAATGTGGGACCAGTTCCCTCCCCCCATAGCCAGCTCTCAGCTAATGAACCATACCTCCTTGCGCAGAAAGATTTTCCAGGCAGGGTTGGCATAGGAAAAGCTGACACTGGCAGTGAGCTTGTACAGCTGGGTCTTGATATCATCATCTTCTGCTACTGTTACAGTAGGGTCTGTGTGAGGAAAAAGAGCAGTGAAAATGGGTTTTGCTGACTACAGGGTCACCTTCCCACCTGCCAAAGGCCTACCAAGAGAAACAGGACAGTGCCATGTGCCTGACTGAAGATTACGGTCAAGAAGCCTCTTGAAGGTCAGGGGTCAACTAATGTGAATGCATGCACAAAACCATCATCACATGAGTACCAGCATTTCTGACAGCCTTTATACTTGCTGTATTAGCCACAAAGTTCGGTGCTCATACTAGAAACACTCCAGAGCTAGGGAGCACACAGCATCCCAGGCAAAATACTACCTCTGTGCTTAAGCATGAAGACAGAGTTCCACTTTATGTCATTATAAAAAGGCTGCTAAAGGTTTCAAAATAACATAAGAGTTCTCCCCTGAGCTTGCGGACTGCAAGATTCTGGTTCAAGGCACCTAGTACTTGCACTGGATTTTCTCTCTGCAGGAGATCTATTAAAGACAGGCTCAGTCTGAAGACAACCATTCAAAGGCATTGCTTTACAAGGTAGGAATACCTTCGTTTAAGCATGCCCAACTTTTGACACTTCAATGTTCATAGACAATCAAGAAGTATAGTAGATCCCACAGTTCAGCTGTTTCTATGTTCCTGTTCAAAATCACGTAGGGATTTTTCAGGCTAATCCAGTTACTTCGATTTACTTTCACAGAACTTTCTAAAGATCCATTTTTTAAAAGAGAGGGAGAGTGAAACAAGGACATGCTTTTATACCATGGAAACTGTTGCAGGATGGAGTCCTGCAGTAATATGCTTGGCTGACTGTTACTTGCATGTTATAAAATGTGATGCTGATGAGAGTTTTAAACAGCTTGAAATACACTGGAACATTTATCCAAAATAGCAGCAAAGTATAAAATGAATTATGGCTCCAGGCTTCCACTGGAATTCAAAGGCAAAGCCTAAGACTGAACAACACTTCCAAACTCCTGCTGAGAAGCATTAGCTATGCTGTTTTTCAGGTCGGCAGCATCCAGCCACTCTTTATGTGGCCAATGTCCGGGGTCTCCCAGGCTCTCATTCTCCCTCTGAGAAACATTCCCTCATTCCTCAGCCTGTCTCTAAGGTCCCTCCAGAAGCTCTAGAAGGTGAAACACCTGGCTTCCCATTCCCCACTGGTCTAAAGTCCATCCGTTGAACTGCAGCTTTGATAAAGTAATTATGCTTCGGGTAGGCAGTACAACGCATTGCGGACTAGACCTTGATAAAGCTGTAGCGCAAAGGTCTTTTCTGTTTTTAGCTGCATTTTTCAGACAAACCCATCCCTTCCCTTCATCGTTTGTTCCTGACATCCTGCACTGCACTTGGGAAGAAAGGGACGAGTTAGAGCTGGGAAGTGCCATGCTAATTACTGCGCCAGACTGGAACTATGACAGTCTCTCTGATTTCTGACAGCCCACTCAGTCCTTGGCCAGCCTGGCCGATGACAGAACATGTGCTGTGACTCCCGGACCACAGGGCTGATTCCAACCCCATCCCCTCCCCGTCCACCACTACCAAATCCCGCTTGGGTGAAGTCAATACTCACCGTTCCCTGTGGATTCCTGCCAGCCTTGGTTCCCAGGCAGGAGAGGCGAAGGCAATGGTGGGGGAGGAGGGGGAGCAGGAGGGGCCTGGGAACCTGGTACGGTACTCCCTTGGCTGAAGAGGGACAGGAGAGGCAACTGCTTCTCCTTGATAGAGCTGGAAGCTGAGCCTGGCTTGGGCTTGAGAGATGGAGGCGATTTCTTCTTTTGTGGCAGTGGGGCTGGCTGCAAGACAGCAAAATTATTTGACCCAATCATTCTCTGCGTTATCGTGCTCTGTCCTGACACTGTTATTATAAATCATCCCTAGGGCAGCAGTCCAATCCTGGAAGCATGATCTGTGTGAACAGGGATACCAGAACCTTTAAATCAGCACACAATCTACAAACAGATGAAGATCAAGCAAACCCATGTGCAGAGAACCATGCATTTGGAATTGAAGCCTCCAACTGGGAAGCAGAAAAGTCATTAATGGGCCCAGATCTTTGTGCCAAGTGTGGGGAACATGAGTTGCTTGCTTCCAGACCAGCCTTAAACATACCACAACAGGACTTGCTGCTCCAGACCATTTTCTCCAGGACCTCAAATGACTTTACAGACTGGAACCCACTCTAGGATGGGCAGTACCATGGTATGAGCTCACAGCTATCTAATAACCCAACAAGAAATCACCTGGCTGCTACTGCACTACCAGCTAGCTCCCAACCTGTTGGAGATTGGATATACAAGCCCCCTCTGATGAGCTTTTAGGTGACCAGAGAACAAAGAACTCACAGGTTTGGGAGACGGGAGGTTCATCATTCCCAACTTGGCCAGAGCCTCATTTTTGGGGTCGTTCTTCTTCGTAAATGGCTTGGACACTCTCCTGCAAGGAAATGGGGAACATAGTTACAGGGGCTGGAGAGGGGTTGTGGCCACAGTGGAGCCACATGGCAGTGCAGGGATGTAGTCCCACTCATCTCCTGCCTGTCTGCCTGGGTGGACCCCGCGCTCTCACCTGGCAGGCTCGATGGGCTGGGGCTCAGGAGCTGGCCTGCTCTGGTACATTTTGATGATGTTGCGGATCTCCCGGCTGGGTGCAGGCCGCGACTCAGGGCCCGAAGGCTTCACTACAGGTGGCTCCTTCTTCGCTTTTGGTGTCTCCTTTTTTGGCTTTGGCTCAGGAGGTGGCAAAGGGGGAGCAGGAGCTATCGAGGATGACAGCTTTAACCAACAGACCAGCAAAGACACAGGAGAAATCCCTTTGTCTCATTTGAAGTTCCCTCTCTTTCACCCCTAGGCTGACTGGCCACAGCCTCCCACTGCCTTGCTTTGAGATCCCACTTCCCAAAGCTCAGGCCTTTCTCTCTCTCCTCTCCTGCCAAGACGCAGACACCCAGAAGAGCCAGATCCTTTCCTCCTCTAGCTGTATCCTGGCCTGATGCTCCTGGAAAGTTCCTGCTTGTCAGTCTGACTGAGGCTAGACCGTACTGCATCTTACCTGCCTCTGTTTTAGGGCTGGGCTTCTTTTCTGTCGTCTTCTCCTGCACCTCTTCCTTCTTCTGCACTTCTTCCTTCTCCTTCTCCTGCTTTGGCTGGGGATTTTCTGGAGGTGTCCAGGATTTGGAAGGAGGCCTGACTTTCTTCACTCGGATCTGTTGCTCTCCTGCATAGAAAGGGGGACTTGAGCTAGCTAAATCCACAGCTGAAACCTAGCACTAATGCATGGTTCCCGCTCTTGCATCAGACAGCCTATGCTTTCTAGAAGCAAAGGCGTGTGTGGCAGTCACAGCCCAAAGATTTCTAGAAAATGAGCAACATAACGCCTCACAACCTGAATTGTAGCCAGCTGAGCAGGCACCCAAAATTCCTGCCACACACAGCACCAGCAGCTCCTGCAGGGATTAGCTGGGTTCCAGACTGGGAGACAGGAACACCTTGTTATGCCAAGGAGGCTGCAGAAAGCGGTATACGCCAAAGTGGTAGATGCTCACCCATCTTCTGAAAATATTCTCTCTTCTGCTGGAAAGTTTCCCGAGGATAGTCATCATCTTCACTGTTGGAGAACTGGTCTTCCATGTAGTCATAAACCTGCAAGCAGTTCACAACATGGTTAGTTAGCAGTAGCCAGCAGATACCATAGTGGCTTTAAGTTCAGAGGCGATCTTCTCTTGCCAAGTTCCGATCTAGAACTTCCCCCCATCAGGAAGTGACCCAAGAGATCAGTCTCTGACCCAAGGAATCATCAACCAAGTCCAGGGAAGAAGGAGCATGTTAGAGGCCAAAGACAGCTTGCTGGAAGATAAAGAACTGAGTGATGAATTTTCCTGTGGAAAATTTCCAGAGCTAACGCCATCAAGGTTTGATCCTGTGTCTTAAAGACTCAGCAAGCAGAGTTTGAAAGGACTTAGTATCGGTAAACATAAGTCTCTGCTCTCCTCTCTGCCAAACCACTGCCACACTGGAAAGGAAGCAGAGCAAACACAAAACATGCAGTTCAAACCAAATTCACCACCACTGTTTGTTTCTCATACCGGTTTGTCTGCCTTAGCTGGTGGTTCTGGAGCCTTTGGTGGTGGGACAGAATTCTGGCTGCTGGGAGGTTTCTTGGGTTTTGGGGAAGTGGCTGGGGCTGGGGCTGAGGCTGGAGCTGGGGCCTGGGCTTGTGGTGGACTTGAGACTCTTGGCCTTGAGCTCTGAAGAGACTGTTGCCACCGCTGCTGCTGCTGCTGCTGCTGGGAAATGTTCATGGCTTGAAGGGTCATCTGCTGGGCCTGGAGGAAGGAATTGCAATGTCCATGAGCTCTAGGCTACACAAAACCACCAGCTATCAGGTAGGCTGTCCCATTCTTTCACTGGTAACCACAGAACATCTACATAGTCCACTGCAAATTTCCCAGTATTATGGACAAGGCATGCTCAAGGAGTCTGCTCCCACCTAGCTAAGTATACAGAGCAAACATCCCAAAGACTCAGCTACCAGTGAGATAGCCTGGGACCTCCACACGATCACAAGGCTTTGTACAGAAAGCAGAACACTGCAGATCTGCATCTGTAGCAGATCCCAGCTTAAAAAGACACGGAAATTACAGCTGAGGCTTCTTGGGAGCTGCTCTTGTCCCTGCTACTCACTCACCTACGATACCTCAGTGTCCCCATGTACACAAAGGGGCAAAAATGAAGTTCCCAGTTTTACAGTCTTAAATAATACCAACTTTATGTAGCTAGACCCCAGCACATAAGCACAGAGCGTTACAGAGCAGGCCTAAGGCAGGAGGGGAGCGTGGCTAACCTCTTCACAGCACATACACCAGTGCGTTGTTCTTCCCCAGCTCCTGGGCCCCTCCCAGCCAGTCCCTTCCACTCACCATGAGCATGGCTTGCTGGTTGATAAAGGCTTGCTGTTGTGCTGCTAACTGGTTGGGATCTACAGCTGGAACCACAGGCTGGGGCATAACCATGGCTGTGGGAGACACACAAGTCTGCAAAAGCCCACAGGCAATTGTTCCCCACGGTGCGTGAGCCTCAGCTCAGAGCTGGGTCTTCGCTGTGCACCCCTCCTGACATTCAAATGCACAAGCTCCATGATGACACCCACCCTTCCATCCTCTTCGCCCGTACAGTCACTGAAACACTGTGTTATTACCTGGCATAGGTGCAATCCCACCAGTTGCTGGCATCATAGGCATGGCTGCTGGCATCCCCATCGTTGAAGGCATAGGCTGGTAAACTGGTGCTTGAGTCATACCAGAGAAGCCTAGAGGCAAAAGAGCACATGCACAGTGCTTTTGGGGAACTGCAGATGAGAAAGCCCTGATGAATCCTGCAGATCACATTGCATCGGTTGGGTACCTCTGGGTCTGTCCACATGCACCAGCCACAGGGACATGTGAATGGTTTATCTCTTCACACAAAGCAGGACACAGCAAAAATCAAGTGGAAAAAGGAATCCAAAGAGAAATGTGTGGCCTGCCAAGACTTTACAATAGCATTATCCAGACCCTGCTCCTGCAGTCCAGCTTCGGACACCACCATCCTTCATAACTAAGCATATAACTAACTCATGCCTGCGTGTGATTACAGAGAAGGGTTTCTCTTGAGGGACGGGCAAAGATTTCTGGGACTGCCACATCCATATTGGCCTCTGTGCAGCAGGTAACGAGGGTGAATGAACAATGAGCCCTGGCCTGGGTGGCATTGTGTATCATGTGAAGGAACTGAGGGGAGAAAGGAATTCCTCTGCTCTCAGCAGTCCAGACCCACACGAGGCCACAAAACAAAAATCGCACTGAGGGCAAGGCCAGCAGAACAAGGGGCATGGAGATCAGTCTCAGCTAGGAGTGACTCAGCACGCAGCACAAGTCTACTGAATCATGATGGCCTCACCAGTGAGAATGGCCCTTGGATGCCATGGAGGGTCCTTCACATTCCTCACTGATCTAACTTGCCACATGAGTGACAAACTGGCCTCAGGCCAGTGATCTCTAATAGGGCTTGTCATGCCCCAGAGCCTCTACAATAGCCAAAAATAATCCCAGTCTTAGTAATGATCTGAATAGGTCGTTCCCCACCTTTCTGAAACAGCTGCCTGTGTTCCTACACATGCGGATGTCTCAGTGTCATTAATATATTGGTGTTCGACTCCACCCTATGGAAAATACTGGAGTCTTAGCTCCACACAAATGAGGAAAAGTACACAAACCAGAATCTCTGCAGCGTTCAGACTTACTAAGCCAAGGAATAGCTAGAGATGATGAGGTGGTCTGTAAGGAAGCAATAAGAAAGATTAAAACCTTCCCCTGAGAAAGGCAGCAACTGTTTTGTCAAAGCGCAAGGTGAATAGAAGGTAAATAGATGGTGAATACAGGACTTAATTGGCCTAGGGAAGAGGTGACCTGGGTCAGAGGCAAGCTACCTGTTGCCTTAACCCTAAGACCAACTTGAGAGAGAAATGAAAAGCAGAACAAAGGTGGTACCCTTACCTAGCACCTTCCCCAAAGCATCTGCCTCCCAGCACCTGGGAGTGAGGAATGCAACTTCTGATGACCTACACTAAAGACCAATGGTCTTCATGAATCAGCTGAGCCCCTGCAATACTCGGCATTTAAGGGACTCCCTGACTCGTGCTCACTGAAGCTTATGTAGCCCCACAGATGTTCCCAGCTGGCCCCATCCCCTTACAGACCTGCAGAAGGAAAGATTCCTCTCTGGGTGTGTCCAATCTTCCCACCTCCTTTCATGCATTCATTCAGAATGTCCCTGTTCTCCATATCCTGCACGAAGAAAAAAGTTATCTGAGCTTAGAGAGATAGACCTCACAGAGGGAGAGCCATCCAAAGGCATATCTGAGCTGAGCAAAGGCAGAGTGAATAGGCAGAGGCGTGCTTGAGGGAGTCACAGGGACAGGAGAGCTGCAGAGAAAAGAAGTAAGAGGAAACATCAAGGGACTTACTGGTACTCTGGAGCCTTGATGCAGCACAGTGCTGAAGAGGTCATCCACATAGTGATCCAAGCTTGCAGGAGTCCTCAGGTCATCTCTGAATCTTGGATCTAAGAGCAGAGAGAAGTCTGGTGACAAGGCATGTAAGGAACATTGCCCTGCCTCCAGTCGCTATTAGACAGTTAAGTTTTGGAGGGGAGAATTTCCTTGCTCCACATCAAGGAGAATCACCTGTCTCCTGCTTTGTTCTGATTCCCTGGCTGGGGCCCATCTGGCCCTTCCCAGTGCTGTCCACAGTATTGGGCAGGAGCTTACCTGGATGGAGACTGCTGAATTCTGGTGGCAGGCTAGGTGGTGGGAAGGTAGGGGCTCGGATGCCTGGAGCAGGAGGGATCCTGTTGAAAAGGCAAATGAGGTGAGGACAGTACAGAGTGCTGAGAGAAAGAGGAGCCACTGGGTGACAGGGCCATAAGTGGTGGGACAGGAGGATTAGGTGACTTACGAATACAGGTCAGAGTTCTGGAGGAAGCTTCTGTCCCTTTCAGGAGTGATGGGGTACTCAACTGAGGACTGAGAGGTGCTGCTGAGGTTGCCAGCTTCCTCCATCTCTCCAATGAGGTCCAGCACAAAGTCACAGCCCAGCAGGTCCTGCCATGTGTTGCCAGTAAACATGGAGACAGACCATCCTCGAGACTTCTCACAGCCCCTGATGAAAAGGTGTCCAGGCAGGCGGGGGAAAGGGAGAGAAAGGAAAACATTGCATTCTTTTTCTTCTTTTCTTGCCCATCCTGGATTAAGTCCTTACAGTTTAGGGTATGAATCAACTATTAAGTGCCCAGGGTCAGGAAAAAACTAGAATCACTCAAGATTTGTCCTTTTTTACTTTTTTTCATCTTTTCTCTGAAGCTGCTCAGACAGATCACGCCAATGATTCCTCTGTTCCTAAAGAGGCCTGCAGTTTATGCATACAGAAGGGTGAAGGAGAGAGCAGAAGCTGGAGTGGGTAAGGAGTGGCTATTCCACATCTGACCATATAAATTCTAGCCTGCAGCCCCGACCAGCCTGAACCTTAGAACTAGTGACAGCCTCTTCCACACCCCTAGATCTTCTCCCATCCTCTGGCAGTACCTTGTGCTCAGGAGCCAGCCTGCATACTGCTCCCCAGTCATCCAGGATTCCACCTCAGCTGAGAACTTCTCCTCTAGCACAGAAAAGAAAGTCAGTACGCACAGCCTCGCTGGCAGGACCCAACACAACACCTAAGCTCTGCAGGACACAGGCAGAGCCCAGCTGGGAAGCCTTGCACACTCCTGAGCAGGGGCCACAGGAGGACTGAAAGCACATGGAGGGCTCCACATGAACACATTCACATCCAAAATAACTGTTTGGTGGCACGGATTGGCATTTCCAACCTGACAGCTGAAATCCCTCACAGTGTCTTGGTTTGCTTGGGCCACCACCAAGGAGCCAGAGCAGGGATGTTCTGCGTTCAATTCACAGAGCTTCCAATCACTCACGAGGCAGCGTGAGGCAATATTTGAGGAGGGAGAAAGGCAGAAGGTCGCTGTAACAAAGGCAGCAGCTGCTGCTGCTGCGTTGGCTATGCAATAACGGATAACAGGAAAACTAGACCCATAGAGATGCTCAACCAGAACAGCCCTCTCGAGATGGGCCCAAACCCAGAAGAATCTCATCCCTCAGCCTGAGCAGCAGGTCTCATCAGGCCCAGACTTCAGGAGTTTTGGGTCTAGATTCAGATGCTTGTATCCCCCATGGCTGTACCAGGCAGAAGCAATCAGTGTTCTGAGCCACCTTCGCTAAGCTGAGGAAGTATTTTCTGAATGCTGATTTCTGCACTGGTAACATCCTTAGGGACTAGAAGACAGCAAAAAGGCAGAAGCACAAGTTACCATTAAAGGTATGAACATCCAGCACCATCTTCCCTCTCCTCTGGTTTGCAGTCCACTCCAGCTGAGTGGGAGGGTAGGCCCGAGAGAGTGTAGAGTCTGTTTCTGTGTGCTGTGCTGCTGTCAAGATCTTGCGCTGGCAAACAGCGTTGTAGCCCTCCATGCCATGGTCTGACACAAATCTAGGAAAAGGCAACTGCATTTAGCACACTGCTCATCTCTCTTCACCTTAATAAAAGTATAGCTAGGTCTTTTCACCTCCTTACTTCAGCAACGGCTTCTCCAGTGCTGGTGAAGGGGCAAAGCAGCTCAGCAAAGTCGCCATCAGGACCCAGGCTCTCTGGCTGTGCTCCATGTCTGGGTTTTTCCATGTCTGGGCAACCACCTGACTGAAGATTTCATTGCGCAGAGCCACATTATTCAGACCTCTCCCAGCGATGTAGTTGCCCAGAAGTACCTCCTGCCAGCCATGGAGGCTCTTGTCACCAATGAACCGCAAAATCTAGAAGCAGCCAGGGGAAAAAAAAAAGAGCTCTAGCTGTAACCTGCTGTCCCAAACTGTGCTGTAAGGTGACAACCTGGGCTGTAGGCACCATCGCGTTTGTGAGCCTAATAAGAGCAGCCAACACCCAGACTGGGATCTGTTCTCAGGTTTTGTGCACCACCAAAGTTCTGGGGAATTTGGGAGGCAGTGTTTGTAGAGACTGGACCCTGACTGAAAGTCAGCACAACCTCAGTCTCTTCTTAGTTATGCCTCTGACTCAGAATTTGTTCCTGGACAAAACAGTTCCTCTTCTTTGGGCAGAGCTCAGCTACACAAGCAAGTTACTGTAGGCTCTTTGTTATGGTTTCTGAGCCCACAGGCTGCCTAGCTGTAAAAACATGTGAAAGAAATTGATGCTTAGCTGATCTTTGTGAAAAGCTCAGAGAGCCAGACCTGAGGAAACACTGTCGAACAACTGAATGTTAAAAAGACTTTGGTGTAGTTAATATTGTAGCAAGTATTACAAGATGTGGTATCTCAACAAACTGCCTTAAGCAATGATTCAGCTTCTTGGCTGTGCATATCAACATCTTAGATGCTTTTGTAATTTGTATTTCTCACCCTTAGGTACAGAATAATGTCTTTCAGCCTCTCCACTTCACTATGTCATTAGATCAATTTTTTCTAAAATATGCCATGGACAGCTTTGGAAAGAACATTTATGAGCGATGGCCTGTTTTCTTCTCAGAGGACAACATTTCTTAAAATGATTAATGGTAGATTAATGGCGTGTCAGAGATGCACTGAGAAAAACAGGAGATGGTGGTTTAGTTCTCATGGTATTCTTTGTGGTAAATCCCAATGTATTACAGTTTTTGCCAAAGAAATAGATATATTTTTATTTGTTGGCAATGGAGAAAAAATATCTTTGGTCTTTAGGAAAAATAACAGTAGTCTGTGTAAACACAATCCTATTCACAAGATTTTATCGAAGCTTATGCTCTTCTATAGATGGGATCATTAGAACAAAACCAGAGACTGGTTTTAGGTATTACCCTTTCCTAATGGGCTTATTTTAATTACATGTAATTCTCAAAAGGGTGACATGTAATTACATGTAATTCTCAAAAGAATTACCAGATTTACTTAGAAACTATCTGAAGTTTGATTCTGTTTTCAGAGAGTTAACATTACAATTTTTAAGAAGAAATGTACGTTTCACATCCACAGAGATGAAATAACCCCACCCCCCATACGCAAACACTGCGGAATTAGGGTGTGGTTCCAGGTGTAATTTTCTTGATGACGAAGTCCCTGCCTTTTTCCAGCCTTGATACAACAGTTCACTGTCCCCTGTTGCATACTGATGTCACTGTATGCCTCAGATACAATTAATATATTTACTATAGACCACATCATGGAAAAGATTTGAGTTAAACTTTTTTATGACTAACAGATAAGAAGAAGTGCTTGAGAAGACAGATCTCACTTATGTTGTTGTTGACAGTGAATCTGGAATATTGGGAAACTAAGGCTTAGCAGTCTAATTCCCATATGTCCTGCCAAATTCTGAGGGTACATCCCCAGCCAATTCACTCTGATCCCATCGGACTATGGCTGGTCTACGTTTCACCAAGAACACAGCCCCCCTAAGGGGCTGCATGTGATCTCTGCCAGACTGCTCCAGTGCCTCGGAGCAGCAATTTATTCTGCTTTCCTAGCACATCAGGTATTGCAAGAACAGTAGCCACCACCCGCATCTTGTTGTACAAAGGCATCAAAGCACTGTCTTATGCCCACCCATTCTTCAACAAGGCCCTGGTCAAGAAAGATGTCTCTTACCAGTTTGTTGATCTCAAGCGTGCTCTCCTGGTATTCAGCGTCCAGATGGGTTAAAGGGTGCTGCAGAGGCTGACCGGGACCAGGGAAATCTGTCTTCTACAAGGAAAGAAAAGGACAGAAATACAAAGTTTTTTTGTGGTGTTGCTAGAACTAGTGTGTCCCCAGTGGGGAAGCAATGAAGAGATATAAAAAGAGTTCCCACCTGGAAGTGTGACTTAATGAAGGAGGAGAAAGGATAGCTGTTGATGGCGGGTGGGAGGGAAAGGTCATCTTTGACCTTGACTTCTGGAGGCAAGGCCTCGGTTATCTGGTTGGCCTGTGTTCGATATTGACCTGCAAGAGAAAGAGGTCCTGTGTTGCAGCAGTTGGAAAGGCAGCCAGAACGCATCCCACTTACAGTGCAACACGTGGCTAACGTGCATCTAACCTTGCCCAGGCACCTGTACCAGCCCCTTGGCTCCAAGGAACACCCAGTGCACCCCTGCTTCTTCAGACCCCAAGCAGGCATATCCTCCCCTCCTTGAGACCAAGGGCCTTGCTTCAGGAGAGAGCTTTTATAGCTCTGATCCTTTGGACTCCTCCCTGAGTAACACGCAGCACCTGGAGGTTCAATTCTGTTAGGCAGAGTTTACAAGGTGGGAAACACTGAGCCTATGCAGAGATACCCTGACAACTGTTCAGTCAACGAGTAAATGAGAGGTCTTCATGATGAGGCCCTGGATGAGGGATTTATCATGGACAATAGAGGAGCAAACATCTTCCTGAAGGAAGAGATTTCTCGATGCAGCACAGCTTCTGTGCATTCCTCTGTCTCTAAACCAGCATGCCCCCTGATGCTCTCCTCCTCCTCCCTATTTACATCCCATAAGCTTTTGTTTTCAGCACTTTCAGCGTGGCTTGTCCCCTGAGCTCCTCTGGGTAACGTTACTCACTAGACCAGCTGATACTCCTTAGAGGGGTGTGCCATGAAGTATGAGGCATTTGGGAATCCAGCACAGTCTGCTCCAATTCACAAGACTCTTCTGCCTGATTGTATCTTTTACTGCACTATGCAGAAGGCCAAAGACGCAGCTGTCCTTCTGTTAGATGCTACACCAACATAGAGGCAAATCCTACCTCAGCCTCTTTTCACTTAAATCTGCACACTGTACGAAGAGTTACACAGCGAGCAAAACTGCAGATAACTTATGCTAAGATCAGGTAAACAGCTTGGGAAATTATTTCAGTTAGTGGTATTTTGCTGATTTTAAAACAAAATAAACCAAAAAACTTCACATCCCCAGCAAAAGGTTTCCCTTAATTGTTACATTGTTACATCCTTAAGTTGCTATGTTGTTTCTACACACTTCCATTTTAAAAGAAGTAATTACTTTTGAACAAGTAATTTTTAATAAAAACCCCAAAATATTTCTTTGAAAGTGCCAAAATTGTAGTTTTGACTTTTTCCTTAAAGGTCAATTTAATTTCCTTAAAAATTTTTGAGTAGAAAAAAGACGGGTTTAAGTTCTCACACCCCAGATATCCAGCTCTGCAAGAGACATCGGTTCATTAAACAGTTTGCTGTCACGTAGCCTTGACCCAAAAGTTTTGCACCGTCACTGTCGTCAGTTCTATCAGCCCAGTTCAACAGAGCTGAAAAGGTAACAAGGATACTGGGTTTTAATCTGGTGTTCCACCCACTGGCCCAAGTCGCTTTCCACGCTATTACACTGGGAAACGATATACATGACACCATCTCCTTTTGTCATATTTACACTGCAATAATAATAAATCAAACGCAACCCAGGTGACAGGCAGCAGGTAGAACAAGCATGTACTGAGACTGCTGGAACACAAGGAAATAAACAGTGGGGTAAAACAGTGCAGGAAAGGGAGGGCAGGAGGGAGGATTTCTCACCTTCGGCTAAGTGCAGGAGGGCAGCGAGGTCTGCAGGGATCTCCAGCAGAGCCACGTCCTGTGGAGACAGTGAGCGAGTCAGTCACCGGGGCACCAGCAGTGAAACAACATGCACATTCTGGGCTGCTCTGTTGAGAACGGGCAAAGCTGCCTTTGGAAAGCTGGCCAGAACAAGGACTGGGCATCGGAGCAAAACCTGTAATTTCTGACTGTGCAGCTTTCAGAAACATTGCAAACAGGGAAATATCATATTAACACAGGTATACGACATGGGTCAGCAAAAGAGGGAAAGGTGAGTAATCCCTAAAATAATCAACGGCCGCAGGGGGAAGTGGCAGGAAAGGTGACTGACTCATCTCTCGTTACTAAGGTTGGCATGTTGTACAGAAGAGATTGCAGCTGACAGGTAAGGGCCATTTCTTCCTGCTCCTTTTTCTGCCATTTTTATTTTCATTTTCCAGTATCCAAGAGCGCTACAGCATAAATAGAGACCTGATCTTTGATGCCCGCCCCTATTTTGGAGGTTCCTAAAGAAGCTCAGACATGCACCTGGATAATTCAGATGACAACCTGGCCAATGAGCCTTCGTTTTTCACTGTTTCCCACCTTGCATGATGCTTGCGTTTGTGCAAGGTAGGAAGCAAACGGGCCAACACAGCACAGTGTATCAGCATCAACGTCTGCACATAACGTCAGTTCAGGGTATTTCAGACAGGACTACCCAGATTAAGACACGAAGAAACCAAGCCAAAGGCACAAAGTCTGAGCTTTTGGGGTTTGTTTATTGTTGTTGTTTTTTTTTTCTAAGATCTGCATAGTAGCTTCTCTACTCACCAGCATACTATTCTGAAATCTCTCCCCACATAAACTCTCAGCAATGCTTAAAGGTAGATTTGCAGCTTTTTTATCAGTTTTATTTTGCTCGTAATTAAGATACTTGACTTCAAATCTAGCTTTTCAATAGCTTATTCAGGAAGTGGACTGTGAAATTCCACAGTCCTGAATCCACACCTGAGAAAGCAGGTGGCATTGCAAGAGTTAAGTATTCCTGTTGTTGTTACTGACAAATCTGTCCAAAATTGTGGAAGATGTCCACTCAGATTTCCTTGAGACACACATCATAGCAAATGTATGCCTGGTCTAAACATACAAATAATTACATTAGTTAGCAGCGTTACTTATAGTAGTTGATACAGCTTAAAAACCCTGTAGACTCTGCGGTTAATTTGTTATGAAGCTTTTAATACCTCTCTTCCTCTACAACATCTTCCATAAATATTTGTGCAAAACTGTCTCATTCCCACTCTTCACAACAGAACACGATTATCAAAAATAGTCTTCCTCCCAGCTCCAAAGCACAGGTCCAGCGCTGTGAGCAAATACAGTACTCTGCCTCAGGACCACTTTCTGATGTCTGACTGTGCCCAGAGACCGGGAAACCCAGACCAAATGAGACAGTTACGTATTAGAGGCTCTTTATACCAGGCTAAACTGCATTCTTGCTGCTAGGTTTCCAGCATACGTGTGGCCTCTGTACACTCTCCAGATGTTTTGCTGTTCCCCAGCAAACCTGGGCTGAGGAGGCACAGGGGAAGGGGAACGCCCTGAGAGCCTGGCTTGTTTTAGCTCAGACTCTCCCAGACTATTTGACAACTTACCATTCCTTGGTTGGCACTGTTCTCTGCGTCACCACTGGCCAGGGACCTCCTTCTTCGTTTCCTTTCCTCTAACTCTTTCTGTTAGGAGATGAAAGGAGGATGGGGGTGGTAAAATTTATATATGAGGTCCCTTCCAGCTATGTCTAGGGGTAGACTCCATGGATAGGCAGAAACTGGTGTCCTGCTCTGGCAGATAAAATGATAGAATGACTGCAGAGCCTTCTTGGGACTCAACATGGTGTATTGGGACGCCCAGGCAAAGGCCTCAGCTTTGCTGAGACCCCACCTGCCCTGCACAACACAATTCAACACCAAGAGCCTTCACCTCCTGCCCAGCATCCCTGCCACACCTTTCCTCCCTTGCCTAGCGTTTGATGCATCTCAGGACAAAAGCACACAGAAACTATCAGAAACATTCACCTGCCTCCTCCAACATCAAAGAATATGGAGATGCAGCCTGAACACGGACTTCTCCATGGAGAGGGATCCCTTTAGAGAGGGAGGGAGGGATACCAAAAGCCAAACTCCCTCGCAGCTCTGCCCTTTCCCATCCATTCTACTCTCCCCCAGCCTCACCACTCACCTGACTCCTACTCCGAGATGGACAAGGAGGGTCTTTGTCTCTCCCCCTCTCTCTCTTGCTTGTCTGTGTTGCAGAATGGTGTGACTAGATGGGAGGTTATGAGGGCTGGGCTAAGAAAGACAGTCGGCATGCTAAAGTCCAAAGGGCAGGGCTGTGGGGTGGGGGGAAAGGAGGAAATTTGCAGCAGGTGGACTTTGAGACCTTTTACTGTTGCTACTGCATGTACAGAGACCTCAGCAAGCAAACACTGGAGGAACAGAAACAGATTCAAAAGAGCTGTTGTGGTTACCTGGGAGAAAGGAAAGCTGGATCCCATCCAAGTAGGAAGAGGCGGGAAAAGGAACAGAAACACAAACTGCTTGGGGCATGGCAGAAGGAACCTCTGCAGTCTTCCAATAACCCTGACCTTAACCCTCCGCCCCATCAGTTCCTGAAGTACCTGAAGCCTTCCAGTACCTGAAGGAGCCTACAG